AGTATGTACCCAATTTCCATTGGCGCACAATGAATATAGCTTACTTAGCCAAAGAAATACAAAAAGCTTCGGTCAAGAGTTTTGAAAATAGTTCTTTAAGAGTTTCACAGTTTACCCGTTCCACAGATAGTTCAGCTCATGGCTGATAGTTTAAACATAATTATTCTCAACTGAGATCACATAGACCCGAGATTCAATCAAGAGATAACGATTGGAACAAAGAGAAAAACACTTATATTAATTTAAAAGACTGTTTACAAAAAGAAACAGAAAATGGAGAAAGATGGGTATTTGCTTGTGAGGAGTCTTGATGGTTGTTTACAGAGAAGAGAAGAGGGGTTGTTACTTAACTACAGTTAAAACTTAAAATTAAACAGTTAAAACTTAAAATTAAACTAAGTTACTAACTACTACTAAGTGATCTCTTCCTTTCGGACTGCAAACCCTCCAAGATTCGATGATGTTTTTGTGTGAGGGTGGTCCTATTTATAGCTGGAAGAGGAGTGGCAAGATTGTAATTCCTTTGGAGCTAGTTGCTTGAATGAGGGGACGGGACTGTGGCAGCAGAGTGTGAAGCTTGCGTGAATTGCTGAATGGAACAAGATTTGGTGATGATTAGCCGTTGTTTGCAGACCTTCCCATGTTTTGCTTCTGTTTTCAGCCAATGAGAACTCTTGATTCTCTGCTCTTCACGTTTCCAGCTGCTCAGTTGGTGCACCACCTTGCTTTATAGAAGTCTTTAACTCTACGTTACCTGCAAAGTGTACAGAAGCATTAAATGAATGGAGCAGGTGCATTAAATGCGTCTCAGTCTGTTTCCCTTTTAATATATTTTAAAGAAATACGTTACCATCCGTTCCCCCACTATGTTTTTGTCACAAATGTGTAAAACAAGTGATTTTCATGGTGAAGTTGCTCATCAGATGAGGGAACGTATGGTATTTTGCTATCAAAATGAGCTTAGATAAGAACGAATTTACGTCCCATCAATTATCTTTAAGGAGAAAAAAATTGGCGAGAAATTTTTCCTTAGGACTTTGAATTCACATAACATTAGGCTCAACCCTAGGTATGATTGAGCTCTGATTTCTCAACCGTTGGATATGGAAGAGACAAGTGAACGATACAAATGAAAGCAAGAAAACGAAAGAGAAAAACAATAAGTAACCGAGCATGCAAAAGCGTGTGAGTGAGAAAATTTCAAAACAAATAAATATTGATGATTTTGTTTTTCTTCCATGTTCTTACGTAAGAAAATAAAAATAAAAAAAGACAAAAAAAGAAGCCAGAAAAAGCTGTAAGTTTAGGTGAGGCAACGCACATGTATAGGAAAATAGGATCCTTAGTGAATATAAAAGTAATGCTTTACCAATTTTCCTTATTGGTAGGTACCCATAGAAATGAACCTTTCTTGAACCCCCAGTTAAGATTTTGTGATGCCCATTTTAAGGGGACCATCTTTATTGAAAAAGACACATGATGCTCGCTGTGATCTTCCGTTTATTTATTATTATTATTTTTCTCTTTGCAGTTTTGTGTTCCTTTGACTCGATTTGATTTGATCCGAGTAATGGGTAGGTATACGATAGTAGATACTGGACATAAATGCTCTTGGATACGAGACGAGATGTGAGATACGAGATGGTTCCTTCCTACTTCTTAAATGAGTTTAGAATCTTGGAGGAAGCATATTTGCTTCAATTCTTCTTTTAAAAACAAAATTTTGGATCCACTATTATTAGGAAGGAATGAGATATTATGATAGCTACATTTTTTTTCCATATTTATTTTACTTATTTCTATTGATACCATTAGATCATAATATTAACCAACATCAATAGGAGAAAAAAAAATGAAGATAAGTTGAAATTATAATTTAACGATACATAGAAATAAATAAAATAGGCATAAAAAAATATATATCAATTATAAATAAATAAATTTTTAATAGAGAACAATAGATAGAGTTCCAATTGTATATTACAAAAATTTCCTTTTCGTCTCCATTGTATATTTTATTGATGCTCCTATGCTCTAAGTTTCGATACACATTGATGTAATTATTCTATTGTACTTGAAGAAAGAAATCTTTTGATTCTAATATAAAATTAAGAAATCTTATTTCCAATCTCAATCGTTGATTTTTATTTGTCAAATGATTATAATTATTAAATTACATCCATTAATTAATTATAATTTAAATTATTTTTGTTAAATGAACAGAAATAAATGGTTGATATAGATAGTAAGACTTGTTAATCTTACTCAGAGTAACAAAATCATGCCTCATGTTTAAATACATTTCTGAACCAAAAACTCAAAAAGTAATGTACTGATAAAAAAATGTCTAATTTATCAAATGATGATAGATCAGTTGGCGCATGAGAGCTAAACAAATAGGGATAAAAGCATGTGTTCAATGCTTCCCAGTATCATCTTTAGAAAGATATAAAGCCTTAATCTGGACTCGCCCCGAACTCCGGATTAGTCCATGGAAAACCTATAAAATTATCAGGAGAGAAATCCCCAAAAAAGAAGAAGAAGAGAGTCTAATTTCCATTTTTCATTTCTAATATGTTTTTTCAATCAATGATATAAGATATGATCATTTACATATATGTCTCAAAAAAAACTTTATTGTCTTTTGATATATTGCGAAAAAAAATAAATATTATACTTGAAATAAATAATTACGAAATTGTAGTAATTTGAAACCTATTTATGAATGTGTAAATCCAGGCAAGAATGAGATGCGCTCAAATTTGGGCGCGACTCACATTGTGATAACACGTGGCACAAAATTATAGAATTTTACTATAAACTTTTGAAATGCCATAATTTTTGACTCAAGTACCCAAATCATATTTTTTTTCATTTCACATAACTTTTCGAGATCTACGCGTTGACATAATTTTTTTCTCTAAAAAAATGCTTTCTTATGCCTCTTTTGACACATTTTATCTCTATGAATGATGTTATTTAATTCTGCTCTTATTCTTTCACTATCCAACAATAACAAATAATTGTGACTCATTATGTAAAACTTATTCAACTAGTCAGAAAGTTGGTATCTGTATCCCAAAAATTTGTACATTGTTAGAATCTCTGCATTATATGTAGGATTTGTGGATCAGGGAGACAATGTGTGTAATTTCTTTAATAAGTTGCGTGAATTTTTCAGCACGTAAATCTTGAAAAGTTACATGAAATCCAAAAAATAAATAAATAACTGATTCGAACATCTGAGCCAAAAATTATAGCTTTCTAAAGTTGTGCTACGTATCATCTTCAAGTGAGTCATACCCAAATTTTGGCTCGACTGCACCCCTATTGCGTTTGGATTTGGGTGCGATTAATCATATTGAAAATTTTATGTCATGTGTTATTCTCATGTGAGTCGCACCCAAATTTGTTATTGTGGCAAATTTTAGGCGCGACCAATTGCGCCTAATTCTAAGTATGAGTGATTGCTACACATTCATAGATAGATCTCAAATTGATATAATTTCATAATTATTTATTTAAATTACAATATTTTAATTTTTTTTTCGATATATTGCTTGAAGTAACAAAATTGTCGAACCGTTGATATCAAATTTTTATTTCATGCGAAAGACCTCTGAACTTAAGCATTGTTTTGGTGTATCCCTATTGGCTATTTGATTATTTTGCTCTTTTTTTTTATTTAAAAGTATCACTTTGTCCCTGCCCTAAAATTATACATTAATCTGTTCCTATTTAACCCTTGACCGACCAACATACTCGAGTATATCAAGTCTCATGAATATATACTTGAGCAGTGACGGACCCAGAAAAATATTTTTATGTCTGCACACTTAGGGCGGGGGTTCGGGGGCGCTGCCCCCGATTTTTTTATTTTTTATTTTAAAAGATCATGATCCAATTTTGCTTCCACTTCAAAAGTAAAAGCTTTGGTGAATCAACTAAAGTTTTAAGAAAATAATCGATAATGATAATTAAAAAATAAATAACACTACAAAAAGACATTTGTAAAATATAGTACAATTGTAGGGGTTAATAGATCAAAACCCACATATCTCTTTGATCCAAAGTTGACCACTTTTGTTTCACAAAAGATCGTGAAAAATTCTTTGTGATTCTCCTCCACTCTTTATCTTTTTCCTTTCAATTTTTCAATTTTTATTTTTTTACTTAGCCTGAATCACACATTCTATGTGAAAAAAAATTTCCCAATTTTTTTATGTCTGCAAGTGCAGACAATGGCACCCAAATAGGTCCGTCATTGTACTCGAGTATATAACCCATATACTCGAGTATTTGCTGTTCTTAGGCATGTACTCGAGTATATAGTATATGCGCATGTACTCGAGTATATGTTCAAAAAAAAATTTACAAATTTTTTTCAATGCGTAGCTCTTGAAAAATTATGTGAAATAAAAAAAATATTTGATTCGGAAACCTGAGTCAAAAATTCTGACATTATGAAGTTTTATTATAAGATTTTCACGTCAATATTATGAGAAAATGTCCAAAATCTTATAATGTCAATAATATGAGTAACATGAAGAGGAGCTTTGTGGGTATCACAAAACTTGGCATTATAAAATTTTGAAAATTTTATAGTAAAACTTCATAAGCCAATAACTTTTGACTCGGATATTCGAATAAGGTGTATTTTTTTTTATTTTACATAATTTTTCAATAACAACGCATTGGAAAAATTTTGTAGAAATTCTTTTGAACATGTACTCGAGTACATGTCCCATATATTCAAGTACATGCTTAGGAACAACAAATACTATACTTGAGTACATATACTCGGTATATGTTCACGAGACTTGATACACTCAAATATATTGATCAAACAAAATAATTATTAATGTATAATTTTAGGGAGGACACACAAATAATACTTATGAAAAAAAAGGCATAATGGTCAAATAGCCGTGTCTTGTTATCTTAAAACTTTGCCTCTTCCCATAAATCAGTTAACTCACAATTACTACTCCCAATGTCACCACCACTCAGAATCCTCTCGCTCTCGTTTTTTGGCTATATCGTTGGCTTCAACTTCTCGACAAGGATTCAACAACACCAAGCAGTGAAGCAGAAGCCATAGTAAGAGAAACCGAAACCTCTTTGATGTTCCCTTCCCTGCTTCTCTCTCTCTCTCTCTCTCTCTGCACTGTGAAAACGTATCACACAACCAACGACCATAGCTAATCCTGCTCAAATATTGGGTAGCCTTGAATTAGAAGCATATAAAAAACAAGAAGAAGAAGAAGGACAACAATAACAAGAAGATTATGGGTATACTGTACGACGATGTAGTGATTATAAGGCAGCCAGAGACAGAAGGCGACCCAACTGTGATTACTGTGAATTGCCCTGACAAAACTGGTTTGGGCTGTGATTTGTGTCGTATCATACTCTTCTTTGGTCTGAACATTGTTAGAGGAGGTAAGTGGTAACCCAAAATAGCCATGAATCATAATTCATATATTAATTGCTTAGCAAGTTTGCACATGCTAAATAAACTCGCTTAAAAGTGTTGAGAATGGAATCCACTTAAAAATCAAATCTTTATCTTATGTATTCATTTTTTTTTTCTTTGAATTTGAGAGATGGGTATGTGAGTTAACTGAATTTGACAGATGGGTTTGTTTTAGTTTCTGTGTTTTACCCTTTGAAGTAAATTTCATAAATTTGAAACTCAGACTAATTCATTTTTATTTTTTATTTTTTATTTCATGCAATGAAGACGTATCAACCGATGGGAAATGGTGCTATATAGTTTTCTGGGTGGTTGGGAAACAGAAGACAAGGTGGAGTTTGTTGAAGAAGAGGCTAGTTGCGGCATGCCCTTCTTGTTCCTCAGCTTCTGGAATCTCTTATTACTGTTCTGATTTGCAGCCACCGAAGCCTTCTGATGTCTTCCTTTTGAAGTTTTGCTGTCACGATCGGAAAGGGCTATTACATGGTAATTTTGGAAGCTGTACTTGGGTATCCAAGTCTTGAATTATCTTTCTACATGTGTGTTATCTTTCTCTTTGTTGATAGAATTTGGACACTATTGGTTGGTTCAAAACATCCTTCTTGATTTCAATTCGTTTAGAAATGGATAGAGTCTGATATATTTAATGCTTCAAAATAAGGTCAAGAATCAAGACAATAAAATAACTGAATGTCTTTATAATGATGGCAGATGTTACAAAGGTTCTTTGTGAGCTAGAGCTTACTATAAAGAAAGTGAAGGTATCTACCACACCTGATGGCAAAGTGATGGATCTGTTTTTCATCACAGATACAAGGTTTTACATTTTCTATCTGCTACCTTCTAATTGCTTGTTCATTTCTATTGTAACTTCTTTATCTATTTACTAAGACTGTGAATGAGTTGGAATGCATATTAATTTTTTGTTTCATGAAAATATGCAACTTGAATGTTATTTACTCCTTAATCTTTCATCTAAATTAGGGAACTTCTACATACAAAGAAGAGAAAGGATGATACGATTGAACAGTTAACAGATATTTTGGAGGATACCTTCATTACTATTGACATTGAATTAGTTGGCACGGAAATTACCAATTGTTCCCAAGCATCTTCATTCCTTCCAACTGCAATCACAGAAGATGTCTTCGATTTGGAATTGCCTGATTTGGTTCGAAGTGGAACTCTCAGATCAGATTATGTTTCTGTCACTATGGACAACTTGCTTAGTCCTGCTCACACGCTTGTCCAAATTATGTGCCAAGACCACAAAGGTCTTCTTTATGACATCATGAGGACTCTGAAGGACTACAACATTCAGGTAATAGTAGTTTGAAATCTGGATACTAAAATATTTCTCAATGTTCATTTTATGCTGCTATGAATTGGATAGTGTCATGAACAAAAACTTTATTTCATCTTAAATGTGAAGTTTTTTGTATGTGAATACTAAAGGGGCAAACCCTAGTGTATAAGACTCCCCGACTTGTGAGAGTAGAGATGAGGGTTGATTGTACACAACTTTACTTATGTATTTTTCCCGGATTCGAACCCGTGATCTTCTGGTTACAAGGAGCAACTTTATCGTTGCTCCGAGGCTCGTCCTCACCCAGGCTAATTGTCTTTGTTATTCTAAGCTGATTGAACACCGGCATATATTTACTTTTTACTTAGTCATCTTTAGTATCCTAAAGGTACAACCTAATTTGTCATTTTAACCAGATTTCTTATGGACGTTTCTCTACAAAACCTAGAGGAAAATGTGAGATTGACTTGTTCATCATGCAAGCAGATGGCAAAAAGATAGTTGATCCCAACAAGCAGAATTCTTTGTCATCACGCCTTAGAATGGAACTACTTCGTCCACTCAGAGTAGCTATTGTGAGTAGGGGCCCTGATACTGAGCTTCTGGTTGCAAACCCTGTGGAGTTGTCTGGCAAGGGAAGGCCTCTTGTTTTTTATGATATTACTCTTGCTCTCAAAATGCTTGGCACTTGCATTTTTTCGGTAATTACTCATCTTCTTTATGCTTCCTACTATTAGGTGACTGGCTCAATTTGAATTTCCACAATGTTCCAACTTCCCACTTTCTTGAACTATGCTCAGTTGCTAACAAAAAAACAATAGGATAGAAAGAACAAAACAAGGGGTTACCAGAAGGCAGTTTTACTAGATTTTACAAACCTTGTGCTTTTTGTTCTGGCAACTTGATATATTTGAGTTTTTACATGTTATTCATAATTTGTTTTCTATCTTGTTCTTCAACAGACAGTGTGTTAATGTTCTGGTTAATTGTTTCAACAGGCTGAAATTGGGAGACACACTATTGCAGACCACGAGTGCGAGGTTTATAGAATCTTGCTTGATGAAGGGGAGGGGTTGTCTGTTCCAAGGAACAAGATTGAGGATGGAGTTTGGAAAATGCTGATGGGTTGGGAGTAATCTGTGGTTTCTGTCATTACATTGTAAATTTTGGGTGAACCTCTATGTACAGATAACTTGGTCTGATATTAGATGTAATTGTGAAATATGTAGTGTGCAAATGATAATCTTTGCCACATTATATTTTCTTAGAGCTTTTGTAATCCTAATTAATTGTATGTAAATGGAAACCAAAAAAAAAAAAGCATATTGATGAGAAGGCAGTAACAAGTAGATGAAAATTTTATAAATGAAAAATGAAATGAAATATTGCAAAGTGATAAATATTTTCAGTTCTTTTCTGTTCTGGTAGCAAAAATAAACCTCTCAACCTTTTCATATTTCACATTGTCTTGTTGGCGAGACTATAGAGATCCAACGGGTCCCGTTTAGAGTTTGGATTCATGAACCACTTCTGTTGCTTATGATATTTAAGTTTATTTATATTCTCTTCGTAAATAAAGTGGTTTTTAATGCGGTGAGTAGAATATAATAAAAATAATAAAAAATTATAAGATGTAATTTACATCGGGTGAATCAGAATAAATTTATGTTTTTGTTTTTTTTTTTTTTTTTGTCCTTCTCGCTTCTCTATTTTGAGATTATGCGTGAAATTGTTCGCCCTAACACCCTTCAACAGTTTTGGTTCCCTATATTTCCTTTTTTAATTTTTCTTAATGCCCTTTTGTTTGAAAATAAAGAGCATCGAAGCAATTCAAACGAGTGTAAGTAGTTTTACACAAGAAATGAAAGGATAAAATGATAATTATATAGGTAGAAAAGTCCATAAACTTAATATATAACGGATTAAGATCAAGAAGTAAATTCAAGCTTCCAATGTGCTTCTTTTTTAACTCTATTGTGTTCATCATCCACTCTCAGATCATGGCCAAGTTAGTGTGCTTCAGTATCTGATTGCTCCTTATGGTCCTTGTTTTCCTAATATACTACTATAGAGAGCAAGTTGCTTCGATTGCGATATTTTATTTTAAGGTGGTTGAACTTAGACTTCGTAAGTTGTCCCCTGTACGGACATATCATGTCACATCTAGAAGCTTTAAATATGTTGATAATTCACTAGTTTGTATTGCATGTTCGCCGGATCTTAATAATTGTTTGCCGGTGGATATTTTCCACTCTTGTAAAACCCAGCTCGTTCCGACTAGGTAATTCGGAATTCGTTGAATTGATTATTAAATCGATTCAGGTCAAGTATTGAACCGGTTATACGTTGATCCGATCAAAATTCGGACAAAATTGGCCAAATCTGATGACCTGATGACCGGTCGGGTCATGCATTTAAAAAAAAATAAAACTGTTTCATTTTATTAAAAAAATGTAACTCATTTTAATTTTTTTTGTAATTTTATTTACTAGTATTCTTTATATAATGACCTCTTAGTTTCCAATACTGAAGAAATTTGTGAAATAATAAATTAGAGAATATGACATATGTCATTTTAAAGTAGTTGAATTTGAAAAATATGAGTTCAATGTCATTAAGAGGTATATTTATGAGCAATTTAAATTGACATGGTAATAACAGGCAAACAAATTAATTTAAAGTTTTTTAATAAAATAATTACGCATTTGTTACAGATTTGGGAATAATTACGGATCTATTGCATAATGTGACGCCCCATTGAGGCGTCTCACCCTAAGGGGAGACACCTCAATGGGGCGTCACTCATCGGGTGTTGACACGTGTCATTTTTTTTTTCCAAAAAAAAAATTAATTTAATCATAAAACTTCTGAAGGCCATAACTTTTGACTCGGGTATCCAAATCAGGTAATTCTTTTTTTGATTCCACATATCTTTTCGAGATCTACGCAATGACATCTCATTTGACATATTTTATTTATCACAAACACAATTTTAATTTGCAAGAATGATATTATAAGAGCGGTTAAACGCAGAAGCCTCTGAGTTCAGGGTTTGTGATTTAATATAAAAAAATAAATAAAATTTTGATTTGTGATTTAAATTTTTTTAATAATTTTTTTTATTATAACAAAAATTTGGTTTGTGATTTAAATTAAAAATAAAAAAAATTATTATTAATAAGGAAAACAAAATAAAAATTTGATTTGTGATTTAAACTAAAAAATCAATTTGAAAAATCTGTAGAAATAAAGGAAATAATTAAATAAATATTCTCAACCTCTAAGGAAGAAGGATATTATTTTTGAAATTAATGATTGATGCTATAAGCTTCTGGGTTATTATTCGTGGTCCGAAATTAATGATGACTTTTGAATGTTTTTCAAAAATGAAATTACCTAAATTAGGCGTAATTGCCTCTTGATTGAAACCCAATTTAGACGTGATTGGTGACGTGTCATGTGTTGACACGTGTCACATTTTTAAACACAGAGGCCTCTGAGTTCTGCGTTTGTGATTTAATATAAAAAATAAATCAAAATTTGATGTGTGATTTAAATTAAAAAAATAAATTTTTTATTTTTATTATAAAAAAATTGGTTTGTGATTTAAATTAAAAGTAACAATTATTATTAATAAGAAAAATAAAATAAAGATTTGATTTGTGATTTAAACTCAAAAATCAATTTGAAAAATCTGTATTAATAAAGGAAATAATTAAATAAATATTCTAAATATCTAAGGGAAAAAGATTACCTGATTTAAATTTAAATTATGTTTGTGAGAAATAAAATATATCAAATGAGATGTCATTGTGTAGATCTCGAAAAGTTATGTGGAATCAAAAAAAGAATTACCTGATTTGGATACCCGAGTCAAAAGTTATGGCCTTCAGAAGTTTTATGATTAAATTAATTTTTTTTTTTTGGAAAAAAAATATGACACGTGTCAACACCTGATATGTGACGCCCCATTTAGGCGTCTCCCCTTAGGGTGAGACGCCTCAATGAGGCGTCACATGTGACGCCCAAAAGGGGCGTCACATTGTGCAATAGATCCGTAATTATTCTCAAAACTGTAATAAATGCATAATTATTTTATTAAAAAACATTAAATTAATTTTTTTTCCGGTAATAACATGCATTTATATTTATTTATGCTTCATGTTTTTTAGAGTGAACCTTGTTTAATTCATTTTAAATATAGAAAATATAATTGAATTTAGATGTTCATATTTATATATATTTTTATATATCTATATATATTTAGGTCAACCGGTCCGGCTAATAACCCACCAGTATGACCAGTAACCCAGTATTCCGACCGGATCGATGACAGAGTCGGGATTAACAACACTGATATTTCCTAGGATACCCTTTTTGTTATTTGCAAGAAAAGCTTGCACAACGGGATATTCTACTTTCATGTCATAAATTCTATCACATCGATCTTCTTGTTAATGAAACTAAAGACTTCCAAAGATAAGTATTGAATACTAGTATTGAGGTGTTTCTTTACAGACTCTTTGGACATATTCTAGGTAGCCACTAACATTGCTTGATCATTGATTGCTATGGGAGATAATGAAATTATGGGGATTCCCTTGAGATTGCAAATTAAAAAACGCCAAAACAAGTTCTACTGTTTGTCTGATCTTTTGGATCTTTTAAGGGTAGAAAATTATATCATAAATTTGGATTTTTATTCTTAAAATGTTAAAATGAAGAAATACCCTCTTTGCTGCTCTGCAGTCAAAGGTTCTTCCTATTTCCATCAGAAACTGGTATTTTAAGATTATTTTTTTTTTTCTTTCCAAGTCTTTGTTCTCATGCCCATTTGTCAGCATCGTGAGGGAATAAATTTTCAGTATATACTATTGTAGATTTGTAGTATATATTTCTGATATATGAGATAAATTTATTTCTTATATATGCATAAAAGTGTATGTGTTGCGTTCACACGAGAAACAATAAACCCATATATTCCTTTGCTAAAATTAAAAATAAGAAATCTCATTTGGCATTAAAATTAGAAAAAGTGAATGGAATAGATGTAGTTAAGATGTGTTTTAATTTTAATGAGTGTAGTTCTGAGTGGTTATAGTATAGGAGTACTGAAAATTTATTCCAGGACTGTTACAACAGTACAAATATCACACTGTTGTCTAAGATATTTTTGTGCACTGCGTTCACATTTTGCTTAGACTAATGGTTCATTTATATCGAGAAAGGAAATTACCAATTAGCCATTTTTTTTTTTAAATTTGGTTTGTCAAATTAGGATTTGTCTTTATCCCTTTATATTTCTGTTTGTTTAGCAAGACAAGAACTTCTGAATCATGCTAGATAAATTATGCTAAAAAAAAGAAAGTAGGGTTACACGTGTTCTTTTGTTTTCTTTGCTTTTGGACCATCATATGGATCTTTGTGGATTCTCTCTTTGAAAATTTGGATATGGAGTAACAAACTACAACAACACAATGAACAAAAAGGCAAAGAAGAATCGAGATATTACATAATTGCAGGTATTCTATTAAATATTAATTAACATGGTTGATTCTCAATTAGCTTACAGTTTCCAATATATTCCTAATTTGTGCAAGATGCCAGCAACCACTCCCCAGAAAGTGATTTCTGCGAAGATGACATATAACAGAGTTCCCAACCTCTCTGAGTGCCAAACATTGATGAACACATGCTTCTCTATCCAATGTACCTGTTTGATAGTTTTCATATGTCATAAAAAATGGTTAGCCCCTTAGTCCTAGCTACTTGAAATCAAAAGGGTGAAAAAGAAAATGGCTTTAATAGCTCTCGTGTCGCTGCAGATGGGAAAATGTGCAGCAACACTTACGTATCCTGATGTGTTTTTTTTTTTATTCCAGAATACGGCTCGGTATCCTAGTGTTAAAAGTTTACTGCAACTTTTCTCATCTGCAGCGATAGCAGAAACGAAGAACCCAAAAAAAAATTATATAATATTATGGAAAAACATAATGATTAAATTATACACCATATACGATATAAATCAAAGAGAAAGCTTCTTACTAGTGAGTTATCTGGATTTTTATAATACCATCCATTTACAAATGCTGCGAAGATGCCCTGGGCTGCCATCACAAACACTAGCATTGCATTCATTCCTATCCATTCCAAGAACAAGAATGGAGTACGAAGCCCCCAAACATCTATCTGTTTGATTAAAAGAAATGTTACAGAAGAATCATAAGGTGGAAGAAAAACAAAGAAACTTGAATACTTTATATTTCACTTACCAGTATATAAAACACAGAAAAGACTATTCCAGCTGCCCCAGTTGTGAAACAAACATAGCT